GCAGGAGGGCGGCAGCAGCAACAAAGGGCAGGGAGGAGGAGTGCGAGGAGGAGGGCGAGGAGGGGGATTGGGCTGTCGCAGGTTTTCCGGCAAACAGTTTTCCGGCAAACAAAAAGGGGGTAGGAGGGGCGGGGGCGTGCGGGGCAGAGGCCCAACGTCGGGCGGCTTGTCGGGGTCCGGAGAATTCGAGGGGGGAACGAGGAGGGGGGGATGGGCGGTCGGCGTCGGGGTAGAAGCCGCAGGGCGTACGGGGTAGCCGTCACTTTCCCGCCTCGAAAGGGCGGGGCTGTCCCGGAAAGTGAGAAACGCCGGGCAGCGTGGCGCACAACTGAACCCTCCCATACGTGTTTGAGGCTCCTCCTTCGCTGTCCCATCTCCTCATCTCTTTCCCGCCTGGGCGGGGCAGCGGGTGGGCGCGCGGTGCGGCGTGGCGTGTGAGTGTGTGCGACTGCAACGACGGACCGCTCAAGGGACCATTGGGTTTGTACTATTAACAACGAAGGCGCTCTCAAAAAGGAAAACAGAGGGTCCCCAGCACTTTGCGTTTCCGGAAATTTCCAGGGAAAACAGAGGGTGTTTGGTGCTCCATTCTCCGGAAACTCGCGAGTTTCCCTGAGTCTGAGAGCTGGTCTGGGGCAAAATCTGAGGCAAAATTGAGGAAATCGACAAAATACCCAGGCGGTCGCAGGGTAAATTCCAGGTATACACGGGTTCTCCGCAAAATTCCCGGCATTTTGCCGATTGCCGATTGGCCTAAAATTTGGCTGATTTTGGGCCCAAACCAGCCTCAGACTCGGCTCAGCGCCCCCAAATTTGACGATTTCCACGGAGTTTTCCGGGAAAATAGAGAGGAAAAGAGAGGGGGTGTAGAGAAAAAAGGAAAGGAAAACAGACGGGGTGAGAGAGGCTCAAACCTGCGACAGCCCAAGAGGGGGAGGAGGACGAGGACGAGGACGCGGTGGAGGAGGAGACGCCTGAGGAGACCGAAGCGGATGCGGACACCATTGGCGAAGATTCGGGTATCGCCAATCGCTCTAACGTCTAAGCCCCGCCCCTAAAGGCCCCAATCTGACTCCTCATTGCTTGGCCCTTACCTGGCAAGTTCGAGCCCGATGTCGAGGAAGCGGACGACAGCATCGAGGACGCCCTCGACAAGAATTTAGATGTAGATTTTGAGTCCGACGCGGAAGGAGTCGAGGAGATCGACAGTACTCTGGAGGATGTTGTCGATGATGCCGTCGAAGATATGCACGCCTGACACTACCGAGCTCTCGGAGGATGAGAAAGCGGAGAACACCGCGGAGGAAGAGGAGGCGGAGGCAGAGCAGACGGGGGACGGTGACGGCGACGGCGGCGACGGCGCGGACGCGGCGGACGCAGCGGACGGGTCGGATGCGGCGGATGCGGCGGAGGCGGCGGAGGCGCTGGATGGTTTGGAGGATGTTGCAGAGGTAGTCGTCATTGTGACCGTGATTTGCACGGAGCTACATCGGCAGGGCCGGATGCCCGAGCACATCTTTCAAGCGGACGAGCGCTTCACCAAGGCGCTCGACACCTCCGAGTACGGCCGCGTCGCGCGGTCGGGCTACTTGCTTTGGGGCCGCCCTGTCGTGCGGGCAATGCGCGCGTCGAGTGCCGTCTCTGACGTCGTCGAGACGTTCGCCATGGCGAAATTAGATGTCGGTCGGCGTCCCACTCTGCTACGCCTTGGGCCGCCTCGCTGAGTCGTTCCTTCGTTCACGGGTGTTGCATCGACCGGCAGCGTCGCGCTCGTCGCCACCTGGCCCTCCGGCGCTCGCACAAGTTCCGGAAGTGAGAGCCGCGTCCATCTGGTCCATCCGCCGATGCGAAGATCGGACTGCCGCAAGTTTCTCCTTGCTGCAAGTAGCACGCTGTTCTCGGGCCATCGAAAGTGCCACAAGACTCTCCCTACGACCTTCATGTTATCGGTGATGCATGTCACGCGGCTTAGAGACTCTCACTGATCCCCATGTTATTGCTGTTCCATGTCAATATCATGTCGTGTACACTCTCATGCCCCGCGGCTTCCGCACTATTAGTCCGCTGCGTTGTTTTTCTTTTCCTTTTCGACGACGCGAAGATTCTCACAACACGCTCGAGACAACAGTTCAAACAGAGACAACACGACAACTACGGCTTTTTATACGTAGTTACGGTCTCTTGCGGTTGCGCAACACTGGGTGCGCACACTGGCACTAACACACAGGAGACAGGTATACACCACGGCACCCGAGAAAGACGAAAAATGTGGTGCGGCGCCGCTTCGTTTTCTTTTCATCGAGCTCCTCGCACAAAAAAGAAAAACTCGCCTCCAGCCCTACCTCGCGCCCCCGCACGCTGTCATGTAGGGGTTCGGCTTGCACAAGCCGCCCCCGCTGACGCACATGGGCTGGAGGTGCCCGGCTCCGGGCCCGTGCACGAGGTCCGAGTAGTAGCCGAGCCCGAGGTCGCCCAGCTTGAAGACGTAGCCTGGCCGCGCGCCGGCGAAGCGGGCCGCGGGCGCGAAAGCGGGCGGGGCGGCCGCCAGCGTCGGGTAGATGGCGCGGGCTGGCTGGACGGCGGCGGGCGGCATCGCGCCGCCCATGCCGTAGCCCTCCATCCCGCGCGTGTTCTGAAAGTACGTGTCGTACAGGCGCGCCGGCGTCGCGCCGTAGCCCGCCCGGTCGTAGCCCGGGGGCCCGGCAGCAGCCGCAGACGCAGCAGCAGCCCGGTCATAGCCCGCGCGGTCGTAGGCCGCCCGGTCGTAGGCCGCGCGTTCGGCCATCCGGTGATATTGCTGCTGCTGCTGCTGCTGAAGCTGCTGCTGCTGCTGCTTGAGCTGCTGCTGCTGGAGCTGCTGGAGCTGCTCTGAGCTGCTTCTGCTGCTGCTGGTGTTGTTGCTGCTGCTGCTGCTGTTGCTGCCGGTGTCGCTGCTGCTGTTGCTGCTGTTGAT